TGCATTTGTGTGTGTGTGTGTGTGAGAGAGAGAGAGAGAGAGAGAGAGAGAGAGAGTGCACTTATACACAGGGAATAGGGTTATAAATCTTGTCAGATTCTCAAGGGGTTTTCTGTGACTCACAGAAAGCCACTGGGCTCTCCACATTTCATAACCTGGGGTCCAGGTAGACATGCTGTGTACATTCTGATGCACTGACATAGAATCCGTACCTGCGGGACCCTTGTCACACGGTTGCAGGGGAGGCCTGAGTGATGACCTCTGGGGAACTCTCTCTGTCATAGGTCAAGTGAGGGTCATACCACCCTTCACTTTGACATTTTACTGACTCTCACTGGCTCCCTATGGACCTGTAAAACTGTGGGGTTTTTATCATCTGCTGATAAATCGATGGAGCTATAAAAACGGGGTTCTCCTACCACAAAGAATTGAGGAGGCTCAGTGCTGTAAGCAAAAATAAGTACAAAAATGGAAACAAAACTGCTACCACAAAGAGGGAGGCAGGTCCTGTGTGCAGACTCACGCAGTCGTGTGACAATGTGCCTGTGCAGCACGCAGCGTGGGCCAGGCAGGGTCCAGACCGGCGGCTTCGAAAGCATGGCCCCTGGGCCCGAGCCCTGGCTGCACCGGGGACCTGCTGGCACACTCACCTGCAGCCCCGCCTACCAAATGAGATACTCTATGGTGGGGGTGCAGCAGCCACACTTAAATTATGGTTTGATGAACCATCCAGGTGGTTCTGATGCACATTCACGTTTGAGAAGCGCTGGTGTGGGTACTAGAAATATTAACACAATGGCGAAAAGACGGATAAAATCCCTGTCTCTTCATGGAGTTGACATTCCAGTGTGTGTGGTCGGGGGAGGCAGAAAACATGTCATTGATTACAGTGATTTTCAGATAGTATTAGGATCTACAAAGAAAAAGATCTGTGTGCAGGATAGTGATGAGGGGCTGATTTAGAACAGGTTGTCAGGGAGGAGATGGTCTAAATGAGACCAGAATGGTAGCAAGAGCCAGCCATGCAAAGAATTAAAGGGCAGAAAATAAGTGCATGCACTGTAGACAGAGGGAAGAGCAAGTACAAAGGCCCCGAGGTAGGACCATGCTTGGCTTGTACGAGGAGCACAGTGAGCAAGGGGTGAGTAGGCGATGGGCTTGGAGAGGCAGGTGGTGGTAGCGAGCTTAGCTTCTGTTCCTAGTGCAAGGGAAAGGCACTGGGCAGTTTTGAGCAAATTGGGATGTGATCTGTTTACCTTTTAGCAGGATCCCTCTGGAGTGAACGGTGGGGGGTAAAGGCAGAAGCATGGAGGGCAGCCAGGGGGATACTGCAATAATACAAGCAAGGGATATTGGTGCTTGGATGGACTGGAACAATGTACAAAGATCTATTATCAAGTGAAAAGCACACAGCAATGCGGGCCATTGTGCATAATACATTGTTTTGAAGCACACACCCATTCAGGAGTATAAAGGCTTTTTTCCCCCTGAAAGATCCAGGAAAAAAATTAATAGTGGTTATCTTTGGGGAAGAGGGAGTTAGTGAGGGTCATTTTGTACCTTTCCATGAATTGCACATTTTTATGATGTGCACACAGCATTACCTTTATTTAAAGATAAAACATGTTTTAGAAAATTGAAAAATTGAGAGAGAAGAAGTGACAGGATAAGTGACAAATGACCAGTATCAGAGAGGGGAAGCTCCCCACCCACAGGTCCGACCCTTTCCCAGTGCCCTCCCCTGAAGTCCATGAAGAGCCAGGCTGACAGAGCGGGGCGAGCTCCTGCTCTCGGGTGATAGAGGGGACAGGGTGAGGCACCTTCTCACTGGAAAACTGCTGGCCCCCGTTTCTGTCCCGCACACTGGTGGTATTTGTGGCTCTGAGGTCTCCTCAGGCAACTAATACAATTTCCCGTGGATGTCTGCTGCATTTCCCTTCGCCCTGTTTGTCAAATCGCTCCCCTTCATCATCGTGGCCGCTGGCGCACCATGAGCCCAGCCTGCTCTTCGTCTAATTGCATGATTGGGCATAAACAGAAGGAAATCCTTTGCTGGAGGGAGAGAGCTGGCATACAGCATCTGGTTTCTCCTGTCAGCTGATCAGGATTTGTTGTGTCCGATCAAGGTCAAATGAGATTAGGATAAAAAAAAATTCAGTGTGTCTGGTGTGCATTATACATAACTGTATCATTTATGTAAACAGGATGAGCAAAGGGAAATTTTTAAAGCAAATACTGAATGTCAGTCTTAAGATTCAAGGACGAGAAGCCAGGGCTTATATGTTATACCCGGGGAGAAAGAGAATGTATTTACTGGGGACACTTTGAGCCCTGCTGATTCTATCATGTTCGGACTCTTTTCTTGTTGGTGCAGTTAAAAAGGGATAGACTTCTGTCTTGATTTTCAAGGCACCGAGCACAGATAAGTAAAATCATGGAAATGCCACCTTCTACCTTTACTGCCTTTGAAAGCTCTTGTAAGAGGAGTAGAGCCACTTTTTGTGGTAGCAACGGTGGAGGTGCTTGGGAGTGAGTCAGTCTCTCAGGGCCCGGGAGGAAACATCTCATCTCTGGCAGCAGCACCGAATTTTAGAGGTGGTGACTCGGGCCAAGGCCACACCTCTGAGGATAAGCCCACGGGGCTGCTAACAGGACCCTTTGGTCCCCTGGAATCTGTCATTTTCTTCCTTTCTCAGACCCACTCCCTGCAGTGCTAGTTGGCTCACATTCAAGGTTTTAATCACGGCAGAAATGTCATTAAAAGTGGTCTAGGAACTTTGAGAGGAGATAGAGTTTCTGTGACTTACTCTGCATAGGATGGAGCGTACTGTGGACGCTGAATATGTGGCTTCCACAGCCATTATTTCAGCGCAGTTTCCTGGCCTGGAGCTGGAGCTATTCTGAGGCCAGACTTTTCAACTAGGTAACCTCCAAGGCCCTTCCCGCACTCAGTAACAGCGATGCCAAAAAGCATTAACATACTTCATGACTGAAAACATCTGAATGTATATTACTTCACAGATAAATCTAGATACATGACATAGAAGCTGAAATAAATATGGAACCTGAGGGATATTAGAGCGAACTTTTAAGAAATCTCAACACGGAGGGGGATTATCTTGCAGTCCTTTCAGGAACTGAGGAGTCGTTATTTCCCAGCATTTGGACAGTAACATTTCCGAACACCTACTGTGCCGTAAAGAAATTCACTTCTATCAGTAGCTGGGGGTTACAATTTGCCTAGAAGCTGCAGAGTTTGCTTTTAACAGCATTTCACAACTGGATGTAACAGAAATAAAACTATGACAGGGACCAACACTTGCATTGCCTGTTTCCAAGGCAACCTCACGCGCTGTCGCACACTTGATTGTCACTGCCAGCCTGCCAGCCTGCAGGGGTGATGCGGTCAGAGCGCCTCCACCTCCGTGAGGAGGGGGCACACTGGAAGTCCTGAGAGCTGAGCTGCCCAGAAATGGCCACCGATGTGAGTGGGCATGTTCGAGAGTGTCACCCTGAGGCAGGGAGACACAGTTTCCATCGCAGCAAAGACTTTAACTAGGGGTGCACCTGGGTGAGACTGAACCGCATCTCTGTCCTCAGACCTTTAGGGTGCTCCCTAACTTTAAGATCTGTCATTCCACACAGTTGAAGAGTTAACGTGCACACCAGTGCAGCATAATAACACTCCTATGTCGAGAAGACCACTGTTGAAATACTGTCATCTTCATATCATTCAGAAGGCCCTTGGGAATTGTGTAGACACTCAGGAAGCTTATTATTTTTTACAGCAAATGGTCAGTACCTGACTATGTGGGAGGGGCCGTTCATGGAGGTTCCAGTTAATGAAATTTGGAGAAACAAACTTTTTCTGGACCTTCAAGTCCCTTTTAGGAGAGCTGCTGCTTCCCCAGTCTTGGACTTCAGGGTGGGAGGTCTCCGAGACAGGAGACAGCTTCTCTGAGGCTCATCCCACAGAGGCACCTGCAGGGCTCCCTGCTGAGTGTGCAGGACAGACTTCTACCTCCAGCTTCCCAGAGGAGGGAGAGACCAGAGAGCACATTTCTAGTTCCGACAGGTCGGCCTGTGCCTCTCTACCTGATTCACCAAGTGGGCAGGCCTGCGTGCGTGCACACACACACTCTCACACTCACACCGCCCAGGCTCAAATGCCTGCATAATGAACAAGGAGGGGGCTCTTCATCGAAACTATTAATCATGTTTCCATTTGGTCTCTCCAAAGACACCTCCTGATCTGTATCCTTTCAGTCCGTCTGCACCCCCCGCCTACTAGCCAAAGATTGATTTGCACAGGTAGTTTCCAACCTTTCTTGCCCTGTTCCTGGCCAGTGGCTTAAAGAAGACGAGTGTGGTCCTCTGAAGAAGCCCCACCCCGGAAGCTGGGCTCACCTGAGGATCCGCCTAGTGCAGCAGGGACAGGCCTGACCCCTGGGGAGGAACTGTCTCTCCACAGCCCCTCCTAGTCCTAACCCGATGGCATGGCCTCCAGTGGCTTTGCAAAACACCATCTGTGAGGTTTGGCTCTGTGATTGGCACAGACAGACAAACACACTCACACTGCCACACACGGACACCGACACCCTGAGCAGGGATGCCAGACGACAGAACAGAAAAGGACTCCTTTTAATGCAGCAGTTTTCTGATTCCAGAGAAGCGACTCTGAGCCATGACCTGCTGTTTCCCTGGCAACTGAGGCCTCAAAATAAACAGGATTCTGCTCAGACGGGCCAGTAGTCCATTCGGTTCAGCCGTTTGCCCTGAGACAAACCACGCTAAAATAACACCCGGGATAGCTGCTGCCGCTGTCTGCTGTCTCAGCCTCCCTTCCCGGCTGGCCGACAGCTCTGTGTCCCTGGCCCGCTGCTGCCAGCTGTCCAGAGTGGGGGCACCTAGGGCTCTGTGCACGCTTCTGTGGGTGGTTGTCTAGAGGCAGGTCCCCTGTGCTGACAAACAGGCCAGGGAGAGACCTAGAGGCTGACGTCCTCAGGCCCCCCGGCTGCCTCCCTACCTCCCACACAGCTCAGTGGACTGGCAGGCTTGAGACAGACCAGCAACCTGGTGTGCATGCCACGGCCCGTTCCCTCTCCCCACACAGAGCGTCAGTCACTGACAGAGAGGGCGGGAGCTGGCTCGGGGCTGCCAGGGAAGCACTGCAGCGCGGTGACAGTGACAAACACAGCAGAGGACGCCAAGCGCATTCCCTTCCCCTCCGAGGGAGACAGGCACGGCCCTCAGCCTGCAAGCTCTAAGGTAAGAATCAGGTTTCTGTTCTGGGGAACAAGAGCAGGTTGTATCCAGATCTGAGGGTGTGTGTGTGTGTGTGTGTGTGTGTGTGTGTGTGTTTGCGCGCGCAAGTCTGTCCAAGTGCAAGTATAAGGCTCCGTGGAGAGGGAAGAAAAAAGGAAACAGTTAAGGCAGTAAGATGTTTCAAGCAGATTCCCCTGCAAAGGGCATTCCTGCAAGAGAGCACCCAGAAGCTCACCTCCGGCCGGGTCAGAACCGTGGGGCAGGCGGCTCTGGGGGAGGGCCCGCGGGTGGCACAGGCACGTAGACGCAGCACTTGGAGTTCAGGGGCTGTAAAAAATGAGCCTGCACCAGGCTGCCCCATTGTCTTCACTCCCCCCGCCAACCCCCCCCCCCCCTTCCCGCTCACACCAGGCTGATGGGGCCTGGAGGGGGCAGAATGTTCTCATTTACTTTAAGTGCTGGACACGGCCCCTGCGGTTGGCAGAAGCTGAAGGCTGTGGCTTTAGTGAGTAGCCGGCATTCTCCTGCTGGGTCACACTCACCCTCCTGGGGAACCTGGAAATTCAGCTGCGTTGGAGAGCTGGTCCACTGGGTGGGCGCCTTAGATTTTAACCAACATTTGATATTAAAAAGTTGGCCTGCAAGGCAGGCTTATCTGCATGTGTTTTGATGGGGTGGCATTCTGGTCACCCCGTGGTCACCTGGATTACTTCTTACCTGACCTTCTGACCTTCTTTGAAAAACACGTCCCTGTTTGGTTGCCCTTCCAGATAGACACGGGCAGCGAAGGAGCAGGAGCAGCCACGCCAGTGGGCGCATTCTCTGGCCCTTGGGCCAGGCCACGCCCACCTCTCTATTATATGACAAAAGTATGCAAGGCTTCCAGACAGGAGCGCTTGGAAAATTCAGAACTCTGGGTGCTGGGGTGGGAATTCCAGGCATTTAATCAGGTACCCATTTTTCAGAGACCCAAGAGGGCAGGCACCCACCTTATCTCACCTCTCAAGTCCATGAGCTCCCTCTCTGCCTCGGCACAATGCAAACACCGTGATTTCTCTAGCCGCTTAAACCCACCCCCACCCCCATCCCTCTGCTCTGCTTTCTGCTTCAGTAACTGGCACTTTCCCTCCCTTCGCTGCAGGGATTCGATTGTTTATGATTTAGCTTTGCAAACACCAGTGGGAGGATGCGAGCACCCAGGCAGCGCTCAGGCCGGGCTCTGCGTGGGGATGAGCCAGCCCAAGGCTGGCAAAGGCTTGAAGGTGTGGGCCAGGCTCTGCAGAGTGGTGTCTAGCAAAGGGCCAGCCAGCTGTTTACTGGGGCCATCTGTGCCAATGAGCATGGATTTTGGCTCAGACTGTGATTCACAGTCACGAATTCCCTTTTCCTTGGTTTTCTTTGTGTTGGTCGTTGAGGGCTTCAGAGGAAAGTCCCCTTTTGAGACTGTGTATCTGAAGGCCTGATCACCAAATGTGCCGCTGGGGGCAGCTGGTGGACGCAGGGTGACCTTCTTCCATGGAGCCTGCCCTTCTTAGCAGGAGTACCTGGGTTACCTGGGTTTGCAAGTGAAGTACTTAGTCAGAGGCAAAGTTAAAACACAAAAAATGAAGGGAGAAAACACCGAGTTTCTTGCAAACTCCCTCCCAAATGTGACGTGCACTTACACCTATGTGGTTTGCCTGGCTCACAGAAAGGAAGCAGAATTTAGTGGACTAAGCAGTTTGACTTTTCAGTAACACCAGCCACGGTGACCCTATTTTCAGTGACAGCGGGGGATAGACATCCATGTGCTCCTTCCACACCTGACAAGGGGGCAGACGCCTGACCCCAGGACAGAGTGTGTGCATGTCCGTGTTGCTGACATGCATTCTGTGGACCCTGAATAAACTATTAGGGATCACGGAGGTGTCGGGGGCTGGATCATTTGCCAGCTTCCAGGACAAGGGATCCTGCAGAGTGGAGGGCACACCCCTTCCACCTCATCTAATAGACCTGACTGGCTAATGCGATTCTCCTTGGTGTGAGACGCTAGAAAAATAATATGCAGTCATTTGTGCCACAGACATGCCCTGGTTTAGGTAAATCCAATGCATATCCATGATGCACAAATTGTATGTGAATAAGTATTTTTCCTTAAGGAAGTATCTGCCAATCAACAAATGTTTACTGAGTTCTGACATGGCATCCCATTTTAAGATGTGGCAGGATCCAGCCACTCAACCATAGAGAAGGGAAGGGACTTACCTAGGGAGCCAGGTAACAGAGAATAAGCCTGGACTGGCAGAATGTCCAACTCAGGTGGGAAGTAAAGGCATCCAAGACACAGGAGCAAGGACAAGCACTGGCCCGATGGCCTGCAGGGAGAGAAGGGGGGGAGCAGGAATAGTAATCATTTTGATTCCTAAATTTCAGTATTTAAGAAAGGCAACATAACATAGTGGCTGAGAGCATAGATTCTGCAGCCAGGCTCCCAGAGGTCAAAATCAGACTCTGCCACTTACTAGTTCTGGTACCTTGTGCCTCAGTTTCCTTATCCGTAAAATGGGCTAATAAAGTACCAACCGTGTTGTTGAGAGTATCAAATGTGTAATACTCTTAGCGCAGTGCCTGGTTTATAGGGAATTCTATGTGAGTATTTGCTAATATTATTTACTACTATCATTGTTGAAAGGCAAGTTCTGAAAAAGCTGCCCAGAAGTCGGCATGTTGCGAAGTCCAAAGTAACACTACTGAGGGACCACTAGTGCCACATTTTGGGCAGCGTGGAGGTGCCTTTGCTTTGTGTGGAGTTTTGCTTGTGTTTCCAAACATCCAGAAACAGAAGAGTTTCCATGCTGGTCACTAGTGTTTTTGAGCCCCAGGCTCGGCTTGACATGTATGACCTCGCCAAATTCTCTCAACAGCCCTGGGAAATGGGGGGTGTTATAGCTGTAGGACTTGAGATTTGGGGGCTGGACCATTTGCCTGAGGCCACACAGTCACCAAGTGTCAGAGCCAAGCTCCACACCAGGCTGTGTTCCCAATCAGTACGCCATCGGTGTTTTGGGGGGATCACTGGAGGTATCTTGACAGGAGGTGGAGTTTGGTCACAGGAATTCCACAAAAGGTGGTATTTGAAGATCTAGAAAGTAGGCCAGGATTTTAAAGCTCTGCTATGAGACCCTAGCTTGGCTCATGGGCAGAATCTCTACCTGGAGGACCAGGAACAAGACATGAAGGCAGGCATGGGGACAAGGTAAGCCTCAGGTCTTCCCGAGCCAGGCAGTGATAGTGCCTGACAGCAGAGACAGAGAGACAGAGGCACAGACGGTGCTGGACCAGGGCTCCTTACGCCCCTCCGGCCCAAGGTCAGAGGGCATCTGGAGCTAAGCCTGAGGCCAAGACTGGGTGACTGCAGTTGTGGAGAGAGGAGAAACGGACAACCCAGAAGGTAGTGTCCGGCCACGCTGACGTTTGCAGTGACGTGTGACTCGACTTGTCAGCGTGATCCCTGAAATAGAGCATTTAAAATGCGATGTGCGGAAATTTGTTTTATGCATCGTTGCTCAAGACCACCTCTCTGACTTCACCCAAGGAAGGTGTGCCCACCTTGCACCAGGGCTGTGGGGGTGTGGGGGCTACTAATGAATAAGAGTCCTCTCTGCCCCTCCAGAGATCTGGTCTGGTCTGGGGGTTTTCAAACTTTAATGTGCATAAGAATCACATGGGAGCTTGTTAAAAAATTAGGTGTCTGAGTCCTACTCACAGAAGTCCTGATTTAGCCGGGCTCCTGAGGGACCCAGGGTCCTGCTTTTCCTGAGCAGGGCCCAAGTGATTCTGATGCTTTGGTCCACGGGCCACCATTGCAGACACCCAGGTCTGACATTTACTCCATTCCCTTGTCGTTGTTCCTGTTAATGGGAACACGGAGTCATGTGGCCTGAATCAACAGCAGTTAGCCTCTTCTTTGTCATCACCTTTACCCTGAACTACTGTTTTTCTGGGACGAGACCTCTACCTGTGATAATAACAGTGCCAGCACACCCACTGTGTGCTGAGGGACTACGCTCCTGGCACTGCACTGAGCCCTTCGCTCACACTGTTCTCTCATTCAGTCGTCACTGCTGTCCTGTGACTCGGGTGCTGTTGTCGTCCGCATTTTACATGCAAGGAAAAAGGCCCCACTGCTAGTAAGTGGTGGGGCTGGGTCGTGAACTCAGGACTCACTGGCAGATCACACAGTGCAGACACGTGACCTCTAGACCGGTCCATGACAGGGGTTTTAGCTCTTTGTCCATTCGACCCTTCTTTTCACTCTTGGGTGTTTCTCTAGCTCACAGTCCTGACTTGCCCAACCAGGAGAGGATGTGCCCAGTGCCTCCCTGCTCTTCTCTCAAGAAGGCTAAAACGGTCGGGGCAACGGGCAGGTGGAAGGTGGGTGTCACGGGCTGAATGGTGTCCCCCTGCAATTCATATGCTGCAGCCCTATGCCCTGGTACTTCAGAATGTGATTTTATTCGGAGTTAGCGCTTTACAGAGGTGATCAGGTTTAAATGCGGTCATTGGGGCGGGCCCTACTCCAGGGTGACGTGTGTCCTTATGAAAAGGGGAAATCGGGACACACAGAGACAGAGACAGAGGGAAGAGGATGTGATAGGTCCACAGGCCCAGGCTCAGGTCTGGAACAGGTCCTCCCCTCATGGTCCTCAGAAGGAACCAGCCCTGCCGATACCTGATGTTGGACTTCTGGCCTCCACACTGTGAGGCAACAAATTTCTGCTGTTGGAGCCACCAGTCAGGGCCCACGTTATGGCAGCCCTGGCAAAGTACTGCAGCAGAAACCAGGTTCCTGGGTTCCTCCTCTAGGCCCTGACTTTGGGGTGATCAAGTTGGGAGCCAATGCATTATGCCAAGTTGTGACAACTTTTTTTTTAACTCTGAGTACTTTTCCTTTGGCTTAAACAGTGTTCTTGGGAGCCACAGGCAGACCCAAGGCCTAGGAAGAGAGAAGGAATAAATAGAAG